TCCACGTATCTATTCACGTATCCATCCACACATTATTCCACATATCCAACCACGTATCAATCCACGTATCTATCCACATATTAATCCACGTATGTATCCGCATATCAATCCACCCATCAATGCGGGAATCAATCCACGTAACTATCCAGGGTTCTCGCCACGTATCTGTCCACGTATCCAACCACGAATTTATCCACGTATCAATCCGCGTATCTATCAACGTATCTATCCACATATCAATCCACGTATACATCCACGCATCCATCCACGGAATATATCAAAGTATGTATCCCCGTATCTATCCACGTATCTATTCACGTATCCATCCACACATTCTTCCACATATCAAACCACATATCTATCCACGTATCTATCCACGTGTCCAACCACGCATCAATCCACGTATCTGTTCACGGTTCACTACACGTATCAAACCACCTTTCTATCCACGAATAAATCCGCGTATCTATCAACGTATCTATCCACATATCAATCCACGTATACATCCACGCATCCATCCACGGAATATATCAAAGTATCTATCCCCATATCTGTCTACTTATCTATTCACCTATCCAACGACACATACTTCCACATATCCAAACACTTATCTAACCACGTATGTATCCACATATCTATCCACGTGTCCAACCACGTGTCTATCCACGTATCTCTCCACATAACAATCCACGTATCAATCCGGGAATCAATCCACGTAACTATCCAGGGTTCTCGCCACGTATCTATCCACGTATCCAACCACGTTTTTATCAACGTATCTATCCCCGAATCTATCAACGTATCTATCCACATATCAATACACGTATATATCCACGCATCCATCCACGTATTTATCAACGTATCTATCCCCGAATCTATCCACGTATCTATTCACTTTTCAATCCAGGTAGCAATCCACGTGTCTAACCGCGTATCCTTCAACGTATCAATCCACTCATCAATCCACGTATCTGATAACGTACCTAACCCTGAAAATATCCACGTATCTATCCACGTATCAAACCACGTATCAATCCGCGTATCTATCTACGTATCTATCCACATATCAATCCACGTATCAATTCACGTATCTATCCAGGTATCTATCCGCGGTCCTCTCCACGTATGTATCCACATATCTCTCCAAATATCAATCCACGTATAAATCCGGGCATCATTCCACGTAACTATACAGGATTATATCCACGTATCCATCCACGTATCCAGCCACGTATCTATCAAAGCATCAATCCGCGTATCTATCAACGTATCTATCCACATATCAATCCACGTATCAATCCGTGCATCAATCCACGTAACCATCCAGGAATCTATCCACGTATCTATCCACGTATCCAACCACGTATTTATCCACGCATCAATCCGCGTATCTATCCAGGTGGCTATCCACGTATAAATCCACCTATCAATCCGGGCATCAATCCACGTACCTGTGCAGGGTTCTCTCCACATATCCATCCACGTATCCGACCACGTATATATCCACGTATCTATTCAGGTATGCAGCCAAGTATCAATCCACCTATCCAAAGACGTATTTATCCACATATCCATACACGTATATATCCACGCATCCATCCACGTATATATCAACGTATCTATTCCCGAATCTATCCACGTATCTATTCACTTTTCAATCCAGGTAACAATCCACGTGTCTGTCCACGTATCTCTCCACGTATCAATCCACTCATCAATCCACGTATCTATTAACGTATCTAACCCTGAAAATATCCACGTATCTATCCACGTATCAAACCACGTATCAATCCACGCATCAATCCACGTATCTTTCCATGGTTATATCCACGTATTTATCCAGGTAACCATCCACGGATCAATCCACCTATCAATCCGGGCATCAATCCACGAAATTGTTCAGGGTTCTCTCCACGTATCTATCGACGTATCCAGCCACAAATTTTTCCACATATCCAACCACGTATATATCCACCTAACTTAACAAGTATTATTCCACGTATTTATCCTCGCATCAATCCACGTATCTATCCGCGGTACTCTCCACGTAACCATCAAGGAATCTATCCACGTATCTATCCACGTATCTATTCACGGATGAATCCACCCATCAATCCGGGAATCAATCCACGTAATTATCCAGGGTTCTCGCCACGTATCTATCCACGTATCCAACCACGTATTTATCCACGCAAAAATCCGCGTATCTATCAACGTATCTATCCACATATCAATACACGTATCTATCCACGTATCAATCCACCTATCAATCCGGCATCAATCCACGTAACTATGCAGGATTCTCTCCACGTATCTATACACGTATCCATTCACGTATGTATCCACGTATCTATACAGGTATCCTGCCACCTATCAATCCACCTATGCAAAGACGTATCTATCCACATATCAATACACGTATATATCCACGCATCCATCCACGTATATATCAACGTATCTATCCCCGAATCTATCCACGTATCTATTCACTTTTCAATCCAGGTAGCAATCCACGTGTCTAACCGCGTATCTTTCAACGTATCAATCCACTCATCAATCCACGTATTTATTTACGTATCTAACCCTGAAAATATCCACGTATCTATCCACGGTTCTCTCCTCGTATTTATCAAGGTATCCAACCACATATCTATCCATCTAACCAACCACGTATCTATCGACCTAGCAATCCACGCATCAATCCGCGTATCTATCTACGTATCTATCCACATATCAATCCACGTATCAATTCACGTATCTATCCAGGTATCTATCCGCGGTCCTCTCCACGTATGTATCCACATATCTCTTCAAATATCAATCCACGTATAAATCCGGGCATCATTCCACGTAACTATACAGGATTCTTTCCACGTATCCATCCACGTATCCAACCACGTATCTATCCACGGATCAATCCACCTATCAATCCGGGCATCAATCCACGAAACTGTTCAGGGTTCTCTCCATGTATCTATCGACGTATCCACACGCAGATTTTTCCACATATCCAACCACGTATCTTTCCACGTATATATCTACCTAACTTAACAAGTATTATTCCACGTATCTATCCTCACATCAATCCACGTAACTATCCGCGATACTCTCCACGTATCTATCCACGTATCTATCCACGGATCAATCCACCTATCAATCCGGGCATCAATCCACGAAATTGTTCAGGGTTCTCTCCATGTATCTATCGACGTATCCACACGCAGATTTTTCCACATATCCAACCACGTATCTTTCCACGTATATATCTACCTAACTTAACAAGTATTATTCCACGTATCTATCCTCGCATCAATCCACGTATCTATCTACGTATCTATCCACATATCAATCCACGTATCAATTCACGTATCTATCCAGGTATCTATCCGCGGTCCTCTCCACGTATGTATCCACATATCTCTTCAAATATCAATCCACGTATAAATCCGGGCATCATTCCACGTAACTATACAGGATTCTATCCACGTATCCATCCACGTATCCAACCACGTATCTATCCACGGATCAATCCACCTATCAATCCGGGCATCAATCCACGAAACTGTTCAGGGTTCTCTCCATGTATCTATCGACGTATCCACACGCAGATTTTTCCACATATCCAACCACGTATCTTTCCACGTATATATCTACCTAACTTAACAAGTATTATTCCACGTATCTATCCTCACATCAATCCACGTAACTATCCGCGATACTCTCCACGTATCTATCCACGTATCTATCCACGGATCAATCCACCTATCAATCCGGGCATCAATCCACGAAATTGTTCAGGGTTCTCTCCATGTATCTATCGACGTATCCACACGCAGATTTTTCCACATATCCAACCACGTATCTTTCCACGTATATATCTACCTAACTTAACAAGTATTATTCCACGTATCTATCCTCGCATCAATCCACGTATCTATCTACGTATCTATCCACATATCAATCCACGTATCAATTCACGTATCTATCCAGGTATCTATCCGCGGTCCTCTCCACGTATGTATCCACATATCTCTTCAAATATCAATCCACGTATAAATCCGGGCATCATTCCACGTAACTATACAGGATTCTATCCACGTATCCATCCACGTATCCAACCACGTATCTATCCACGGATCAATCCACCTATCAATCCGGGCATCAATCCACGAAACTGTTCAGGGTTCTCTCCACGTATCTATCGACGTATCCAGCCACAGATTTTTCCATATATCCAACCACGTATCTTTCCACGTATATATCTACCTAACTTAACAAGTATTATTCCACGTATCTATCCTCACATCAATCCACGTAACTATCCGCGATACTCTCCACGTATCTATCCACGGATCAATCCACCTATCAATCCGGGCATCAATCCACGAAATTGTTCAGGGTTCTCTCCATGTATCTATCGACGTATCCACACGCAGATTTTTCCACATATCCAACCACGTATCTTTCCACGTATATATCTACCTAACTTAACAAGTATTATTCCACGTATCTATCCTCGCATCAATCCACGTATCTATCCGCGATACTCTCCACGTATCTATCCACGTACCTATTCACATATCAATCCACGTATCAATCCGTGCATCAATCCACGTAACCATCCAGGAATCATTCCACGTATCTATCCACGTATCCAGCCACGTATCTATCAAAGCATCAATCCGCGTATCTATCAACGTATATATCCACGCATCCATCCACGTATATATCAACGCATCTATCCCCGAAACTATACACGCACCGATTCACTTTTCAATCCAGGTAACAATCCACGTGTCTGTCCACGTATCTCTCCACGTATCAATCCACTCATCAATCCACGTATCTATTAACGTATCTATCCATGAAAATATCCACCTATCTATTCACATTTCAAACCACGTATCAATCCACGCATCAATCCACATATCTATCCATGGTTCTCTCCACGTATCTATCCAGGGATCCCACCACGCATCTATCCACTTGAAATCAACGCATTAATCCACGTATCCAAAGACGTATCTATCCACATATCAATCCACGTATTTATACACATATCAATCCACGTGTCTTTCAACGTATCTATTCATGAATCTGTCCACGTATAAATCCATGCATCATTCCACGTATCTATTCACACTTCAATCCACGTATCAATCCACGTGTCTATCCACGTATCTTTCCACGTATAAATCCAAGCATCAATCCACGCATCAATCCACGTATCTATTCACACATTAATCCACGAATCTATTCACGTTTCTATCCACATATCAATCCACGTATCAATACACGTAGATATCCACGATTCTCCCCATGTATTCATCCACGTATGCAACGACGTATTATACCACGTATCACAAGAGGAGCTTATCCACATATCAAATCGCGTGTAAATTCACGAATCAATCCACGTATCTATCCGCGTATCAATCCACGTATCAAAAGACGTATTTATGCACATATCAATCCACGTATAAATCCACATATCAATCCACGTATCTTTCAAAGTATCTATCCCCGAATCTCTCCACGTATCTATTCACTTTTCAATGAAGGTATCTATCCACGGTTCTATCCTCGTATATATACAGGTATCCAACCACCAATCAATCCACCTATCCAAAGATGTATCTATCCACATATCAATACACGCATATATCCACGCATCCATCCACGTATATATCAACGTATCTATCCCCGAATCTATCCACGTATCTATTCACTTTTCAATCCAGGTAGCAATCCACGTGTCTAACCGCGTATCTTTCAACGTATCAATCCACCTATCTATCCACGGTTATATCCACGTATATATCCACGCATCCAACCAAGAATCAATCCAAGTATCTGTCCAATTATCCAGCCGCGTATCAATCCACGTATCAAAAGACGTATCTATCCACATATCAATCCACGTATAAATCCATATATCAATCCACGTATCTTTTAACGTTTCTATCCCCGAATCTCTCCACGTATCTATTCACTTTTCAATCCACGTATCTCTCCACGGTTCTATCCACGTATATATCCAGGTATCCAACCACGTATCTATCCATCTATCCAAACACGTATCTATCCACGTAGCAATCCACGCATCAATCCGTGTATCTATTCACGTATCTATGAACGTATCTATGCCCGAATTTATCCACCTATCCAACACGTATATATCCATTTATCTATCCAGGTATGCAACCACGTCTCAATACATGTATCTGTCGACGTATCTATCGCCGAATCTATCCATGTATCTTTTCACTTTTCAATCCACGTATCAATCCACGTGACTATCCACGTATAAATCGATGCATCAATCCACGTATCTATCCACATATCAATCCACGCCTCAATTAACGTATTTATCCTTAAAAATATCCACGTATCTATTCTCATTTCAAACAAAGTATCAATCCACGTAACAATCCACGTAGCTATCCACGGTAATATCCAAGTATCTATCAACGAATCTATCGATATATCAAACCACGTATCAATCCACGTATTATAAGACGTAACTATCCACATATAAATACACATATAAATACAGGTATCCATCCACGTATCTATCCACGCATCTATCGATATATCAAATCACGTATCCATCCACAGATCTCTCCACGTTTCTATCCACATATCCAGAGACGTATCTATCCACGTATCTATCCAGGTATCCAGCCACGTAACAATCCACCTATCCAAAGACGTATGTATCCACATATCAATACACGTATATATCCACGCATCCATCCACGTATATATCAACGTATCTATCCCCGAATCTATCCACGTATCTATTCACTTTTCAAAACACGTATTAATCCACATAACAATCCACGTATATATTCACGGTAATATCCACGTATGTATCAGCGTATCCAACCGAGTATCTATCCACGTATGTATCCACATATCACTTCACGTATCTATCCTCGGTTCTCTCCACGTATCTATCCACGTATCCAACCACGTATGTATCCACGTATCTATACAGGTATCACGCCACCTATCAATCAACGTATCAAAAGACGTATTTATCCACACATAAATACACGTATATATCCACGTATTTATCAACTTTTATATCCACGTATCTCTCCACGTATCCAACCACGCATCTCTCCATATAACAATCCACGCATCCATTCACGGATCTATCCAAGTATCTATCCACGTATCCAACCACGTGTCTACTCACGTATCTATCCTGGTATCCAGCCACGTAACAATCCACCTCTCCAAAGACGTATGTATCCACATATCAATACAGGTATAAATCCACATATCAATACACGTATCTTTCGAAGTATCTATCCCCGAATCTCTCCACGTATCTATTCACTTTTCAATGCAGGTATCTATCCACGGTTCTCTCCACGTATATATACAGGTATCCAACCACCAATCAATCCGCGTATCCAAATACGTGCCTCTCCACATATCAATCCACGTATATATCCACGCATCCACCCACTTAAATATCCACCGTTTTCTCCACGTAGCTTTCGACGTATCCATCAAGGTATCTATCCACGTACCTATTCAGGTATCCAGCCACGTATCAATCCACCTATCAAAAGACGTATCTATCCACATATCAATACACGTATATATCCACGCATCCATCCACGTATATATCAACGTATCTATCCCAGAATCTATCCACGTATCTATTCACTTTTCAATCCAGGTAGCAATCCACATGTCTAACCGCGTATCTTTCAACGTATCAATCCACTCATCAATCCACGTATCTATTAACGTATCTAACCCTGAAAATATCCACGTATCTATCCACGTATCAAACCACGTATCAATCCACGCATCAATCCACGTATCTATCAACTGTTTATATCCACGTATATATCCACGTATCCAACCAGGTATTTATCCACGTACCTATCCACATATCATTTCACGTAACTATCCACGGTTCTCTCCACCTAACTGTCCAGGTAACCAGGAACGTATCAATCCACGTATTATAAGACGTAACTATCCACATATAAATACACGTATAAATACAGGTATCCATCCACGTATCTATCCACGTTTCCAACCACGTATCTGTCCACGTACCTATTCAGGTATCCAGCCACGTATCAATCCACGTACCAAGAGACGTATCTATCCACATATCAATACACGCATATATCCACGCATCCATCCACGTATATATCAACGTATCTATCCCCGAATCTATCCACGTATCTATTCACTTTTCAATCCAGGTAGCAATCCACGTGTCTAACCGCGTATCTTTCAACGTATCAATCCACTCATCAATCCACGTATCTATTAACGTATCTAACCCTGAAAATATCCACGTATCTGTTCACATTTCAAACCACGTATCAATTCACGCATCACTCCACGGATATACTCACGGTATTCTCCACGTATGTATCAGCGTATCCAACCGCGTATCTATCCACTTAGGTATCCACTCATCAATCAACCTATCTATCCACGGTTATATCCACTAATATATCTTCGCATCCAACCAAGAATCAATCCAAGTATCTGTCCAATTATCCAGCCGCGTATCAATCCACGTATCAAAAGACGTATCTATCCACATATCAATCCACGTATAAATCCATATATCAATCCACGTATCTTTTAACGTTTCTATCCCCGAATCTCTCCACGTATCTATTCACTTTTCAATCCACGTATCTCTCCACGGTTCTATCCACGTATATATCCAGGTATCCAACCACGTATCTATCCATCTATCCAAACACGTATCTATCCACGTAGCAATCCACGCATCAATCCGTGTATCTATTCACGTATCTATGAACGTATCTATGCCCGAATTTATCCACCTATCCAACACGTATATATCCATTTATCTATCCAGGTATGCAACCACGTCTCAATACATGTATCTGTCGACGTATCTATCGCCGAATCTATCCATGTTTCTTTTCACTTTTCAATCCACGTATCAATCCACGTGACTATCCACGTATAAATCGATGCATCAATCCACGTATCTATCCACATATCAATCCACGCCTCAATTAACGTATTTATCCTTAAAAATATCCACGTATCTATTCTCATTTCAAACAAAGTATCAATCCACGTAACAATCCACGTAGCTATCCACGGTAATATCCAAGTATCTATCAACGAATCTATCGATATATCAAATCACGTATCAATCCACGTATTATAAGACGTAACTATCCACATATAAATACACATATAAATACAGGTATCCATCCACGTATCTATCCACGCATCTATCGATATATCAAACCACGTATCCATCCACACTGCTCTCCACGTTTCTATCCACATATCCAGAGACGTATCTATCCACGTATCTATCCAGGTATCCAGCCACGTATCAATCCACGTATCAAAAGACGTATCTATCCACATACCAATCCACGTATATATCCACGCATCCATCCACGTATATATCAACGTATCTATCCCCGAATCTATCCACGTATCTATTCACTTTTCAATCCAGGTATCTATTAACGAATCTAACCCTGAAAATATCTACGTATTTATTCACATTTCAAACAAAGTATCAATCCACCTAACAATCCACGTAGCTATCCACGGTAATATCCAAGTATCTATCAACGAATCTATCGATATATCAAATCACGTATCAATCCAATTATTATAAGACGTAACTATCCACATATAAATACACATATAAATACAGTTATCCATCCAAGTATCTATCCACGTACCTATTCAGGTATCCAGCCACCTATCAATCCACGTATCAAAAGACGTATCTATCCACATATCAATCCACGTATAATCCATATCAATACACGTATATATCCACGCATCCATCCACGTATATATCAACGTATCTATCCCCGAATCTATCCACGTATCTATTCACTTTTCAATCCAGGTAGCAATCCACGTGTCTATTAACGTATCTAACTCTGAAAATATCCACGTATCTATCCATGTATCGAACCACGTATCAATACACGCATCAATCCACGTATCTATCAACTGTTTATATCCACGTATATATCCACGTATCCCACCGGATATTTTTCCGCGTACCTATCAACATATCATTTCACGTAACTATCCACGGTTCACTCCACCTATCTGTCCAGGTATCCAGCCACGTATCAATCCACGTATCAAAAGACGTATCTATCCACATATCAATACACGTATATATCCACGCATCCATCCACGTATATATCAACGTATATATCCTCGAATCTATCCACGTATCTATTCACTTTTCAATCCAGGTAGCAATCCACATGTCTAACCGCGTATCTTTCAACGTATCAATCCACTCATCAATCCACGTATCTATTAACGCATCTAACCCTGAAAATATCCACGTATCTCTCCACGTATCCAACCACGCATCTCTCCATATAACAATCCACGCATCCATTCACGGATCTATCCAAGTATCTATCCACTTATCCAACCACGTGTCTATACACGTATCTATCCAGGTATCCAGCCACGTAACAATCCACCTATCAAAAGACGTATGTATCCACATATCAATACACGTATATATCCACGCATCCATCCACGTATATATCAACGTATCTATCCCCGAATCTATCCACGTATCTATTCACTTTTCAATCCAGGTAGCAATCCACGTGTCTAACCGCGTATCTTTCAACGTATCAATCCACTCATCAATCCACGTATCTATTAACGTATCTAACCCTGAAAATATCCACGTATCTATCCACGTATCAAACCACGTATCAATACACGCATCAATCCACGTATCTATCAACTGTTTATATCCACGTATATATCCACGTATCCCACCGGATATTTATCCTCGTACCTATCCACATATCATTTCACGTAACTATCCACGGTTCTCTCCACCTATCTGTCCAGGTATCCAGCCACGTATCAATCCACGTATCAAAAGACGTATCTATCCATATATCAATACACGTATATATCCACGCATCCATCCACGTATATATCAACGTATCTATCCCCGAATCTATCCACGTATCTATTCACTTTTCAATCCACGTATCAATCCACGTGACTATCCACGTATAAATCGATGCATCAATCCACGTATCTATCCACATATCAATCCACGCCTCAATTAACGTATTTATCCTTAAAAATATCCACGTATCTATTCTCATTTCAAACAAAGTATCAATCCACGTAACAATCCACGTAGCTATCCACGGTAATATCCAAGTATCTATCAACGAATCTATCGATATATCAAATCACGTATCAATCCACGTATTATAAGACGTAACTATCCACATATAAATACACATATAAATACAGGTATCCATCCACGTATCTATCCACGCATCTATCGATATATCAAACCACGTATCCATCCACACTGCTCTCCACGTTTCTATCCACATATCCAGAGACGTATCTATCCACGTATCTATCCAGGTATCCAGCCACGTATCAATCCACGTATCAAAAGACGTATCTATCCACATACCAATCCACGTATATATCCACGCATCCATCCACGTATATATCAACGTATCTATCCCCGAATCTATCCACGTATCTATTCACTTTTCAATCCAGGTATCTATTAACGAATCTAACCCTGAAAATATCTACGTATTTATTCACATTTCAAACAAAGTATCAATCCACCTAACAATCCACGTAGCTATCCACGGTAATATCCAAGTATCTATCAACGAATCTATCGATATATCAAATCACGTATCAATCCAATTATTATAAGACGTAACTATCCACATATAAATACACATATAAATACAGTTATCCATCCAAGTATCTATCCACGTACCTATTCAGGTATCCAGCCACCTATCAATCCACGTATCAAAAGACGTATCTATCCACATATCAATCCACGTATATATCCACGCATCCATCCACGTATATATCAACGTATCTATCCCCGAATCTATCCACGTATCTATTCACTTTTCAATCCAGGTAGCAATCCACGTGTCTAACCGCGTATCTTTCAACGTATCAATCCACTCATCAATCCACGTATCTATTAACGTATCTAACTCTGAAAATATCCACGTATCTATCCATGTATCAAACCACGTATCAATACACGCATCAATCCACGTATCTATCAACTGTTTATATCCACGTATATATCCACGTATCCCACCGGATATTTTTCCGCGTACCTATCAACATATCATTTCACGTAACTATCCACGGTTCACTCCACCTATCTGTCCAGGTATCCAGCCACGTATCAATCCACGTATCAAAAGACGTATCTATCCACATACCAATCCACGTATATATCCACGCATCCATCCACGTATATATCAACGTATCTATCCCCGAATCTATCCACGTATCTATTCACTTTTCAATCCAGGTATCTATTAACGAATCTAACCCTGAAAATATCTACGTATTTATTCACATTTCAAACAAAGTATCAATCCACCTAACAATCCACGTAGCTATCCACGGTAATATCCAAGTATCTATCAACGAATCTATCGATATATCAAATCACGTATCAATCCAATTATTATAAGACGTAACTATCCACATATAAATACACATATAAATACAGTTATCCATCCAAGTATCTATCCACGTACCTATTCAGGTATCCAGCCACCTATCAATCCACGTATCAAAAGACGTATCTATCCACATATCAATCCACGTATATATCCACGCATCCATCCACGTATATATCAACGTATCTATCCCCGAAT